AATATTATGCGAGCATGTATAATACTTCACAATATGATAGTAGAAGACGAACGAGATGGGTATACTCTGTTTGATACGACCGAATTCGAACAAGCGGAATCTGCAGGAAGTTCACGGGTGGATTTCACATATTCTACAGATATGCCTTCAAATTTCTTCGGAATGATGACCAATAGAGCTCGAGTTCGTGATCGAGGTATGCATCAACAATTGAAGAATGATTTGGTCGAGCATATATGGACAAAATATTCCAGAAATTAAGTTTAAAACATTTATGCTTTATGTTATGTATGTTATAAATTGTATCTCATGTATGTTATAATTTTTTTAATTTGTAACAATTATTAAATTTTCTATAATTATGAATTTTTGTTTTATATTAATTTTTTTTTTTTAAGAACCACATGTTAAGAGCCTACCATTAATCACACAAAAATCTTAACTCAAAAATATTATCTCTTAACAATCACTTTTACAAATAAATTATTTAAATATTGCTAAGAGCAAATACTAAGAACCCACCTATAATCATGCTCTAAGAAGAAGAAAGATAATCTCGGTTGTTAATATTGTCATTCTCTCTCACCGAGAACCGTGACTGAAAATAATTAAATATTATAACAATTTATATAATAAATCAAAAGTTATAATTGTTTTTGAAATAAACTAAATGTTGCAATAGTTCAACTAAACGGTTGCAACCGTTTATATTTAGTTAAAAAAAATTAACGAAAAATTGCGATAAAAAAACACAACTGTTCAATGCATTTCAAAATTAATAATAATAATTTATGAAAAATTGCACTAAGAGACGCGACGGTAGATAATTAAATGTTATAGCAATTCATAAAATAAACCAAAAGTTGCAAGTGTTCATAAAATAAACTAATAGTTGCAATGGTTCAACTAAACGTAGACATGTCAATTAGGGCCGAAGCCCGCGGGCTGGCCCGGCCCAGTCCTGAAAAATAGCGGACCCGGACTTAAAAATATATGTCCAGAAAAAAATCAGGCCTTTCGGGCTAAGCCCGTTGGGCTAAAGGGTTTTTACGGCTTAGCCCGGCCGGGCTCGGACCGGCCCGAAAAGCCCTTAAAAAGAGATTTTAACTTTTTTTTGTAAATATTATTGTTTAATTAAGAGATTTGTTTAAAGATTTTTTTAATAGAATTAAAAACTCTAAACCTAGTTTTAAACAATTTATTTAGATTATTTATTTGATTTTAAACTTTTTTAAAACTAGATTCACTTTAGTGGGTTATTTAAGTTTCGTTTCACTCGTTTTATACATAGATTTTTTTTTTCAAGAGATATTATAAATTAGAAGAGTTTATTTTTCTCGAAAGAAAAGCCTGTAAAAGCTCTGTAGCTCTGTAAGGGCCGGGCCGGGCTTCAAAATGTAGGCTATGAATTTTTACGGGCCGGGCCGGGCCGGGCCGGGCTCAAACACATGCGGGTTTTGCGGACTTCGGGCCGGACCTGGCCGGGCTAGCCCGATTGACATGCCTAACTAAACGGTTGCAACGGTTTATGAAGAGTTACGATAAAAAGACACAACTATAGAAAACATTTATTAGGATTACAACTTTCTACAAAAAAACACAACCATAAAAATTTTAATTTATTTTTAATATAAAAATTAACGAAAGATTGCGATAAAAGAACACAACTGTTCATAACTGCAAAAGACATTTATTCGGATTGTTATTATTATATAGATTTCAAATTAGCTTGATCACTTTGTCAATGTTCATGAGATTTTTACTTATTTCAAATTATCTAAAAAGTAAGTACTATGAAGATGGAAGCGCTATTCTAGAATATGAAGAACATCCACTTAAAAATGTTGAACTGCTAGGATTTTGTAACAGATTGTGCTGAGCACGTCTCTGTGGTATAATCTCCAAAGGATTGATCCGCTTTCTCCAAATCTTCTCGACGAATTTAGTTTATCCTTAGTTGATTTTTCACCTTTCTCTCTTTTAAAATTTTCTCGTTTTCATGCTTTAATTTAAAAACTTTTTATAAAATAAATAAATTATATCACTTATATGTAATCTTGAAGCTGGTTGTATAGCGAGAACTTCTAGATCTTTGATTCATAATTTTTCTATGAATATAAATCTGATGAACATTGATATTAGTGTATTTTGGTTTGACAAAAAAGACACATGTCAAAATGAGGAATGCAATATTATACATTTTTATGGTTTCAATTTTTATTTTAGAAAATAAAACATATGAAAAATACAAAAATGTGGCTTGGTATTAGTTTATTTGATTTTTTTAAAATGGGTTATTAATTTATTACTTTTTTTTTTTAACGTCTTTCATATAATAATATAAAACAGAGTCAATCGAAACATAGGACATAATAAACCAAAGGAGAAAGAAGGCATTAAAAAACAGAGCAAAGAAGATTACAAGAGAACCTCATGCTGAAGCTATGCGTTCTCTCTCAATCCGGTCGTGGAGCCAAGATGGACCTCCTAGCGCAAGATACGATGTAAACCGTCCCTCCTTCGTGACACTACAAGCAATATCCCTGGCCAAAGTATTGGCTTTCGGTGAAGAGAGGTGAAAGCTTACCTCCCCCATCACCCGTATTGCTTGTAAGATTTTATCGAGCTGGGAACGATACTTCGGCCATTCCAAAGGATTCTCCAATGCCATCACTGCCGCGTTACAATCCGACCAGATTTCGCAGTTGTTAATATGAAGATCATGAAGACTGCGAAGACACCACAGTAGGCAGTGTAGTTCTGCAGAGAGTCTGTTCATTCTTGGAAGAAAAGCATCTCTAGCATGAAATAGAGCATTGCCTATGTGGTTCCTTAAAATTCAAGCACCCCCCACAGTGAGCCGTAACACTTACCCAAGAAGCATGAATGTTGCATTTTAAAATCCCTAAAGGAGGCTTCAACCACCTTAAAACCTGTCTACCTCCACGGCTAGCCTCCTCTGCGGTTTCAAGATTAGTATTGTGGTTAAGTGTAGTCCATTCTTCCATTTCCTCTAAAGCCGTGGCAATGATAATATGAGGATCATTCACTTTGGCTGCGTATAATGTTGAGTTACGCGACTTCCAAATTTCCCATAGGAGCCACGGGATCACAGCTCTAAGATTCACCGGCACTTCTCCTCTCCTCATGAGACGTAAAACATAATCGATATTACCTGTGGCTGATGTAGAGAAACCCTGATCCGGCAATGGTAAAGTGGACAAAGACCAAACCCGTGATGCCAAATCACACCGAAACAGAACATGGGAAATAGTTTCATCTTCTCTTTGACAAAGTGGACAAAGCTGAGCCACTTGCAAACCATGTTGTCGTAGACAGTCTGCAACCGCAAGTGCCCCTGATAGGGCCCGCCATAAAAACAAACGTATCTTTGGAGCTGTGCTCAGTTCCCATACCTGATCCTTGATTTTATTGATCTCTTGAATGTTTCCCGGGGTTATCTCCATCATCTCCGCTTCTCTTGTTAACACCCAGTTCCCACTCTTCACCGTATATGAACCATCCTTCGTATAAGCCCACACATGTTTGTCTCTTAACCTTGTTTCTGGCGGGAATGATCTGATCTTAATTACATCACCAGGAGGAAAAAACTCATTCAAGAGTTGGATGTTCCAATCTCCTTGTGATGTAATAAGCGAAGAGACTTTTAAATTCAGGTCCATCATCAACTGTTTATTAATGGGTCTTCTTGGGAAAACATCCGCTATCCATTTATCTACCCATATACTTGTATCCTTCCCATCACCAATGGACTTCATTAAACCTCGCTCTAGCAGCTCACGGCCAAACATAATGCTATGCCAAGCATATGAAGGGCGATAACCAATCTTTGCTTCTAAAAAGGGTTTGTTAGCAAAGTACTTGGCTTTATAGACTCGTGAAACCAGAGAAGTGGGTGAATCCAATAACCTCCATGCTTGTTTCGCTAATAAGGCTTGATTAAACCGACCAATGTCCCGGAAACCCAAACCACCCTGTGCTTTTGATTTACACATCTTCTCCCATGAAACCCAATGCATTTTATTCTTGTCTTCAGTTTCGTTCCACCAAAATTGGGCCATTGCACTTGTGATTTGCTGACACTGATATTTCGTTAATCTAAAACATGACATCGCATATACCGGAAGAGCCATCGCAACTGATTTGAGCAGTACCTCCTTACCTCCTAGAGATAAAGTCTTTTCGTACCAGCCACTAAGGCGTGCCTTTAAACGATCACTAATGAATCCCATAAGTTCTCGCTTAGAACCACTAAAACATAATTTATTACTTTAAATGATGCAAAATAAAAGAAAGAAAAAATATTGAAAAATGTGTATATTATTTTTAATATAATGATATACTTAAAATCCAATTAAAATAGATATTAGTGTTTTTTAATATGGGAAAAGAAATACAAAGACACACATGTCAAAAAAAGAGAATGCCACAATTTTGGAAACCTTATTTTAGTATATAAGATATACTGTATTGTGACACTTTTCCATCATATCTAAAATTTAATGGCTATTTGATTGAAAATATTTTGAAGGTACATATGTTCAGTATATTTAGTATTCGCCTTAATGGATATACGAATATTTGCCTTAACAAAATATTTTACCGTACTTCCAAATATCCCCCGTAACTTGATGTTGGATATTTAAGTGTACGTGATACTTAAGTGTATGTACATCGTCGGTTATTCACGTATTTTGGATATTTAAGTGTACGTACATCGACAGTTAGTGTACGTACATCGACGGTTATTCACCAACCATCGCACCTTTTGTACAAACGGTTATTATATTAAACGTACGGTTGCAAACGTATGTGAAAACCGTTGATCACTATAAAACTCTGTTTCTCTGGTGTCAAAAGGGACAGAGAAGAACAGAGCACGAGAGTTTCACAAGATCAAAGATTGAAAGAATCTTTGGTGATAAACACATAAACAAAACACAAATCTCTATTTGTTTCTCTTGTATCTTAGTCTAGAACAAGAGAGAACTTTGATTGTCTTATCCTACAAGGGATTTCGTGTAACCCAAGGCTTGAGAAGGGTCGAAATACTCTTTAAGGAAAGTGCTCACGTGCGCGATTCAATCATTATCCAAGTTCACATTCGTTACGTCCCGGAGTTACAAAGCCTGTATCCACAACAATCTTAAAGAGTATTTAGTGAACAATGGCTAATGTTTCTGTGCGTGAGATGACATCAAAGTTTGGCAAATTGGATAAGTTTGAAGGAGTTGATTTTAGAAGATGGCAAAAGAAGATGCACTTTCTCCTCACAACGCTCAATGTGGTTCACGTTCTAAGTATGCCAATGCCCACCGTGTCGGAGAATGGTTGTGGATGTCGGATTCACACACTCAAGTATTTTGTTAAGTGGGAAAGATTATTCTTGAGGGACAAAAATGAATACGTAAGAACTTGTAAATTGATACGAGAATTGCTATATTATTTCTCTCTTTAGAGGAAGATGCCCTTTACATGGCCATTGGCCTCTATATTTATACATAGATATATAAGCGACATTAAAATGGATAATTAAGTACAATTATTCCTTCTTAAATGTGTCAGTTTTGATTCTTCGACTTTAATGCTCAACGTTTGAATTTGAGTTGACTCTGATTTTCATGGGCCTCGCCTTTTTGGCCCAAGTGTCCTTGAACCGACCTACCCGCGTCTTCTACACCGAACTCACATCTCAGTGCAGTCACTTCGGACTCTCGAAGTGGTGACAACCACTTCGACCGTCCCCTCGGTTCATGGGTCCAATGGGCTTCATCTTTTATGGGCCACCCGCTTGACTACGTGGCAATCTTTGGTTGGTCTCGTACTTCTGGTGCGGGATCCGACACCAACAATTAGCCCCCCAAGTTCTTCGAAGTGCTATTCCAATTCGGAGGACTTTAAATGCTCAAGTGGCCAAAGATTGCGCTCGAGAATCTTTCTGATTTCCCGCCGAAAATCTCATCACTCCTTTAATTTCGGCACTAACCATTTTTAACCGAGTGACATCTGTCATCATTATGACCGTATATTGATTAATTACTATTAAAACGGGAAAAACCTTCCCACTTCCCACACGACTTCCAAGGCGGTTTCATCATTAGCTTGAGGTAACTTCTTTTCACCATTACTCTCTTCTTTTACTTTTGTACTTTAATCAAAACCTCTCTCTTCGTTCCTTCACCAAAACCCCTCTTCACCGGATCTTGAATTTTTCTTTCTTCCCAATGAATTCTGATTCCGATAGACCCGAGTCTCCGTCTTTCGACGAGAGGCGTTCTAGTAACGACGAGTGCACCCGCCCTGGTGATATTGCCGGTCCGCACTATAGGTCCATTTGTACTCTTCAATCCCTCGAGCGATTGAGAGAGCTTTGCCGGATTCCGCCGGAAATTATGGCGGAAGCACAAATAGCTTCCCCCACAGAATCTCCAGAGAACCATCGCGATGGTTACTTCTGTGTGTATGAGATTTATTTCAAAGGTTGCGGGTTGACCTTTCCTCTTCCCGAAGCCCTAATTTTATACCTAGCGGCCCTTGAAATCGCTCTTCCTCAATTAACCCCCAATCTTCTTCGTACTATTCTCGGCATTATAACAATCGCGGCGGAGGCCGGTTACGTTATCGGAGTTGCCGAATTAAATGAGCTTCTAAGCGTGAGAAGCTCGTCGAAGAAAACGGGGTATTTCTCAGCATATCCTAACGCCAACAGGAACATCATTTCGCATCTTCCAAACAAGGATGAAAATTGGCATCATCCTTGGTTCTTGATTAAGAAAACTCCCGCTTCGATTGGAAATCTTGCAGATTTCCTCCCTTCGAAGTGGTCGGCGAAACCTGGTAGAGATTAGGTCGCCCGTATCTTTCCCGGTTGTTTCTTTATCTTTATTAACTAACATCGTTGTTTCATTTCGCAGCTTTCATCGCTTCCAATCTCCCATCTGAAGAGTTCATCGAATTCTTCAAAATAATTCTTGAAGGGGAAACCCTTTGGAATTCCTTCACTCTCGAACGATTCATAGAGGCTAACCACAGACTCAGGATGAGTCCGCCTGGTCATCTTCACCAAATTCCTCCCCCTCCCTCAACTCAGGGAATGTCATCTCGGGCCCTTGCGGCCAAGCGTAAGTTGCTTTCCAAGCCGATGGCTGAGGCTTGCGAGGAGAAGAAAAAGTTTCTCGCGACTTCTATAGACAAGAAGGACTATAGTAGGACCTTGCTGGTCGATGATGGCAGTACCGAGGGAGCCCGATCTGTTGCTTCCTTCAGACTAACTCCCCGTCGCGATCGCCGCGACTCACGTTCTCCTCGGAGGGATCAATCTCCTCGCCGTGATTCACCTCGTCCTCCCTGAGATGATTTTAGTAACGAGCCAATTAAGAACTTGGTTCGCCGGAAGAGAGACAAGTCCTCTCGCAGAGATCCTTCCTCGCAGAGGGAAAAGTCAAGGGCCCGGACTGACCGCTCACCTCGGTCATCCCCTCCTTCTGAACCAATGGGTCCTCCACGACCGGTTGACATGTCCTCCTCTTCCCAGCCGGATAGTGGAATGACTGCCCGGAGCGCGTCTCCGAAAAAGGGGGATTCTGAATCTCGAGATGCTCCCTCGAGGCTGAAGCCTGCTCTTGTCCCTCAAGTTAAATCGCTTTCAGGTTTGGTGATTTACACGTACTTTAAACTTTTTGTCTTTATTAAAATTCCAATTTTTTACAACTCTTCCTTCTCCACAGCTATGGAGAAAGAGGGCAGCGTCTTCCGATGCTTCAAGACCCGGTCGGGCTCGATCTTGCCAGACTTCGACAAATGGCCCCCTGCGATTCGTGAACGTTATTTGCTTCACGCGCATCACTCATCTCGGGTTAGTTCCGTTTTCTTTTATTATTATTTTTTTTATTGTATTGCCATTCTGCGAACTGACTCGTCATCCCGGGTTCATGTATGACGCCAGGCTCATAGCGAATTTAACGACATGATCGAACATTACGAAGGGCTGGTCCTTGGACGGGAGAAGGAGATTGACATGTGGAAAAAGAAACTCTCTGCTCTTGAGGCCGAAGTCAGTTCTTCTGCCGGCTCCAAGCACGAGCTGGAGGACAAAGTCGACAATTTAACATCCGAGCTTGCGCAGGTAAAGGGGGAGCTGCAGGGTCAGTACGACCAGAACTTCAAGCTCCAGGAAGAGTTTTCTGGTATTCAAGGTAGGCTTCAAGAGTCCGAATCAAACGCTGATTCCCTGAACAACCAACTCATCGAGCTCAACGCAAAGTACAAGGCGATCGCCAAATTGCGTGATTCCGAGTTGGCGAGGTCGGCATCAAAAGCCAGAAAAGAGGTCAAGGGACGCGGGATGGAGTTGATCCAAGGGGCCATCCGATTCATGCAGACTGAGAAGGCTAGGTCGGACTTGGAGTCAGACATCAAGGAGCACGAAAGTAACCTGATTCTGCTGGATCAAATCCATGAAGCAGATTTCTCCGAAGAGCAAGAAAGGACCGAGCTGTCGACTAACCTTTCTGAAAAACGGAGTCGCTTGGCAGCTCTTCCCACTTCGGCCTTCAACCCGCTTGACTTCGAGGCATTCTTTACTGAATCACCTCCAATAAGTGAATCGGGTTTAGACTGGGCAGGTAACGCTTGGCTCCTAAGGCTTACCTTTTCTTACCTTGTACCTCTGATTGACTGGAATTATTATTTCCAGGTTCAAGTGAGACGGAGGGCATTGTCCCGCCCGTAGCTCCTGTGGTATCGGAGGTTACTCCGGAGGTTGGTTGTCCCGCGGAGGGTGGTCAGGGAGCTTCATCTGATCAAGCACCAGTCAAGGAGGTGAATGAAACTCTGGTTGCTGAGTAGGAGCCCGAGGTGGAGATCGCTCCGTAGTGGCTGTGTCCACTTTAAATTGGGGATTGTCCCTTTTTATTTTAAGACTTAATCTCGAATTTATTTTTGCCTAAGGAGGCTTTATTTTCTTTTGAACAAGATATTTGCCTGAGGAGGCTTTTAAACCTTTCTAGGTTGTGACCCAAGGGGGTTTGGTTAAAATTATATGCGGGTTTGCAAAGTCCGTTTTTAACCTTTTGTGGCCTTGTGGCAATGCTTTCGAGATTTTTATAGGCTGATCAGACCTTTCTCTTTAGAATGCGAGAGCTGAGCTCGGCTTAACGCGAGTTCCCCACTTCGGGTTTAGTCAACTCGGTAAACTTGTTAGGCTTGGGCCTTAGAAACTTTTGCAGTTAATGCGACGGTTGCTCTTTCCCTTCTTAAAGAAAACGGCTCGTCTTTTAATGCAATAATTGCATTTTCTCGATTTTCCAAAAATGGTTTAACCCACTGGGAGACGCTACCATTAATGAATTTATGGTTCCAAGACAAACCCTAAATCATTATAAATAAAGGCTTACCTACCTCTAGGCTTTATTAAACATGACTCTAGAGTCTCACTTGAGAAATATTTTAAGAATGGAAAGCGAAACAGTAGCCCCCGTTGATCCCGGCAGCCCACTCTTCTTGTCCGGCGACGGCTTTGAGCCGGCCGGCGTTCTCTTCCCTCATGCCGTCTTTCACTTTCCTTCAAAGGATAAAAAAGAGGCTTGCGACTTCATTGACAGGGTAAGTATTTGAAGTTTTTTGATTAAAAACTCTTTGTTTCATCTTATTCATTCATCTTTATGCTAGGTTGCCGACAAGCACCGTCGCTTGTGTGAAGAGAGGCAACGGCTGGGCCTCAAAAGGCAGACACTCGAGGCTCGTATTTCTCGGGTGGAGAGGAAGATCAGGGCTTTGGAAAGTGATCCCTTTCAGTGGGAATGGCGGAATTTCGACTCCGTTGCTGAGATCCCGAGGATGCTTCGGATGTACCTCCGTGCTAAGGGGGTTCCGGGTCCTGTGAACGCCCCGGTCTTCCCCGTTCCATCTGATAGTGAGGAAGAAGATTTGGAGGAGGAGGCCAGCAACTGTCGGAAACGCATTCGGGATCGTTCCGAAGTGAACTCCAAGGACAAGGCGTCCACTTCGGAAGTTAAACCGGCGATGAAGGAGCCTGTTCCTGAGCCCCTTCCTTAAATGTTCCCTAATTCTGCTCTCTTCTTTTTTTTTTTTTTTTTTTTTTTTTTGAAAAAACTCGTAATGGGCTTCGGCCCCCTTTTATTTATGGAAACACTTGCAACTTTCCTTAAAATATTCTTGGTGATACGATTTTTAATGCAGGATCGGTTTTAGGGATTAATCTTCTCCGCGAATCACTCCATTCCTAGGATAGAATCTGCAGCTCACTAAGGATATGACGTTACTATAAATTATAGTCTCAATTTCCCTTTACTCCTCACCACTCTTTTTA